ACCAGTCCCACGACTGGAGTGCTGCGATGCCTGGCTATAGGCTCTTCAGAAGGGACAGGCAGCACAGAAGGGGTGGCGGTGTGGCTCTCTATATTAGAGAGTCTTTCGATGTTGTAGAACTCAAGGCTAGGAATGACAAGATCGAGTCCCTTTGGGTTAGGATCGGCAGGGCCAACAAGGCTAGTGTCCTGGTCAGGGTCTGCTATAGACCGCCAAACCAGGATGAGGAGACGGATGAGGAGTTCTACAGGCAGCTGACAGAAGTTGCGAAATCGTCGGCGCTTGTACTCGTGGGGGACTTCAACTTCCCTGACATATCTTGGAAGCACAACACAGCCCAGAGGAAGCAGTCTAGGAGGTTTCTGGAGAGCGTGGAAGATAGCTTCCTGACGCAGCTGATTAGTGAACCTACCAGGGGTGGTGCCCTGCTAGACCTTCTCTTCACAAACAGAGAAGGACTGGTGGAGGATGTGATTGTCGGGAACAGTCTTGGGCAGAGTGACCACGAAATGGTGGAGTTCACTATTCTTGGCGGGGCCAGGAAGGGAACCAGTAAAACCACTGTATTGGACTTCCGGAGGGCTGACTTTGGGCTGCTCAGGACACTGGTTGGTGGAGTCCCATGGGAGGCGGTTCTGAAGGGCAGAGGGGTCCAGAAAGGCTGGGCGCTCTTTAAGAGGCAAATCCTAATGGCGCAGGAGCGGTCTATTCCCATGCGCCCAAAGATGAGCCAGCGGGGAAGAAGACCAGCCTGGCTCAACAGAGAATTGTGGCTTGAGCTAAGGAGAAAAAAGAGGGTTTATAATCTTTGGAAAATTGGGCAGGCCACTAAGGAGGACTATAAGGATGTAGCGAGGCTGTGCAGGGACAAGATTAGGAAGGCCAAAGCTCATCTGGAGCTCAATCTGGCTACTGCCGTTAAAGATAACAAAAAACGCTTTTATAAATACATCAACACAAAAAGGAGGAGTAGGGAGAATCTCCATCCTTTACTGGATGCGGGGGGAAACTTACTTACAAGAGATGAGGAAAAGGCGGAGGTGCTTAATGCCTTCTTTGCCTCAGTCTTTAGCGGCAAAACCAGTTGCTCTCTGGATACCCAGTACCCAGAACTGGTGGAAGGGGACGGGGAGCAGGATGTGGCCCTCACCATCCACGAAGAACTGGTTGGTGACCTGCTACGGCACTTGGATGTGCATAAATCGATGGGGCCGGATGGGATCCACCCGAGGGTACTGAGAGAACTGGCAGAGGAGCTGGCCAAGCCCCTATCCATCATTTATCAGCAGTCCTGGCTATCGGGGGAGGTCCCAGATGACTGGCGACTAGCAAATGTGACGCCCATCTACAAGAAGGGCCGGAGGGCAGACCCGGGGAACTACAGGCCGGTCAGTTTGACCTCAGTACCAGGGAAGCTCATGGAGCAGATCCTCTTGGGGGGAGTCATGCAGCACTTGAAGGGCAAGCAGGCGATCAGGCCCAGCCAGCATGGGTTTATGGAAGGCAGGTCCTGCTTGACGAACCTGATCTCCTTCTACGACAAAGTGACACGCTGGGTGGACGAGGGAAAGGCTGTGGATGTGGTCTACCTTGACTTCAGCAAGGCTTTTGACACCGTCTCCCACAGCATTCTCCTCAAGAAACTGGCTGCTCTTGGCTTGGACTGGCGCACGCTTCGTTGGGTTAGAAACTGGCTGGATAGCCGGGCCCAAAGAGTTGTGGTGAATGGAGCCAAGTCCAGTTGGAGGCCAGTCACTAGTGGCGTCCCCCAGGGCTCGGTGCTGGGGCCGGTCCTCTTTAACATCTTCATCAATGATCTGGATGACGGCATTGAGTGCACCCTCAGTAAGTTCGCAGATGACACCAAGCTAGGTGCGTGTGTCGATCTGCTCGAGGGTAGGAAGGCTCTGCAGGAGGATCTGGATAGGCTGCACCGATGGGCTGAGGTCAACTGTATGAAGTTCAACAAGGCCAAGTGCCGGGTCCTGCACCTGGGGCGCAATAACCCCAAGCAGAGCTACAGGCTGGGAGAGGAATGGTTGGAGAGCTGCCAGGCAGAGAAGGACCTGGGAGTGATGGTGGACAGTCGGCTGAATATGAGCCAGCAGTGTGCTCAGGTGGCCAAGAAGGCCAACGGCATCCTGGCTTGTATCAGAAACACTGTGACCAGCAGGGCTAGGGAGGTGATCGTCCCCCTGTACTCGGCTCTGGTGAGGCCGCACCTCGAGTACTGTGTTCAGTTTTGGGCCCCTCGCTACAAGAAGGACATCGAGGTGCTTGAGCGGGTCCAGAGAAGGGCGACGAAGCTGGTGAGGGGCCTGGAGAGCAAGTCCTATGAGGAGCGGCTGAAGGAGCTGGGCTTGTTCAGCCTAGAGAAGAGGAGGCTCAGGGGTGACCTTATTGCTATGTATAAGTACATTAAAGGAGGCTGTAGAGAGGTGGGGGTTGGCCTGTTCTCCCATGTGCCTGGTGACAGGACGAGGGGGAATGGGCTAAAGTTGCGCCAGGGGAGTTTTAGGTTAGATGTTAGGAAGAATTTCTTTACTGAAAGGGTTGTGAGGCACTGGAACGGGCTGCCCAGGGAGGTGGTGGAGTCACCATCCCTGGAAGTCTTCAAAAGACGTTTAGATGTAGAACTTAGGGATATGGTTTAGTGGGGACTGTTAGTGTTAGGTTAGAGGTTGGACTCGATGATCTTGAGGTCTCTTCCAACCTAGAAATTCTGTGATTCTGTGATTCTCAACATTTGCCTAAAATATGCATTCAGTTCTTGAATCAGTTTTCCACACAGAGGTGGCCATTTCCTTCAGGATGCCCTGGAGTTGCTGAAGGCTACATGGGGAAACGTAAGTTTGCATATGTGGGAGGCCTTCTGAAGCAGGAACTGGTTGGCAGGCAGAGTACCTGAGGGACTGTGCAGGGCACCCCCTGCACCCAGTGCTCCTGGGTAGGCTGGGATGAGACCTCCTGAGCACAATAGCTCCTTGTAGCCCTGTGGACACTGGCTGTGAGGTCACTTGTGTCACATCATCTGTCTGGACAACAGCAGGGAGGCAGAGCCTCTGAGGTCACAAAGGCCCTCAGAAAGCTGTCCCCAACAGGGTGACACATTTGGTGAGGCCAGGGGAAAGCTGGGAGAATAACGGTGGGGGATTTGGGAGAGAGAAGAGGGGTTTCGCTAACAGAAAGGAAAGATTTTAAAGATTTAAGAAGGGTTCGGGTAAGGCTGATGCTTCTGCAACACTCACAGGGAACATCTTCATGTTGTGTCCTGGTTATATTTCTAACTAGTAACCCGAAAATCTAGTGCTGTCCTTAATGCTTTCTCTCTCCCTTTAAGGCATCCATTGCTCTAATCCCCAACCTCATTTCCTAATTCAAAGTCAGACCCCAAGCATATTACTTGTTACCATTAGTCACAGAATCATAGAATCATAAAAACACAGGGTTGGAAAGAACCTACAAGATCATCTAGTCCAATCATCCTCCTATCACCAATACTACCCCTAAGCTACTAAATCATATCTCAAAGCACCTGAGACAGGTGCTTCTTGGACACTGCCAAGGGTGGTGACTCCACCACCTCCCTGGGGAGGCCGTTCCAGTGCCTGACCACTCTTTGAGAGAAAAAGTTTTTCCTGATATCTGAACCAAATCTCCCCAGGCGCAACTTGTGGCCATTTCCTCGAGTGCTATCATTAGTTATCAGAGAGAAGAGGCTGACCCCCTCCTCATCACAGCCTCCCTTCAGGAAGTTGTAGATTGCAATGAGGTCTCCCCTGAGCCTCCTCTTCTGCAGACTAAACAATCCAAGCTCGCTCAGCCACTCTTCACAGGACCTGTGCTCCAGACCCCTCACCAATTTTGTTGACCTTATCTGGACATGCTCCAGCACATCGATGTCTGTCTTGTAGTGACGGGCCCAAAACTGAACACAGTACTCCAGGTGTGGCTTCACCAGAGCTGAATACAGGCGGATGATCACCTCGCTGCTCCTGCTGGCTACACCATTTCTAACACAGGCCAGGATACCATTGGCCTTCTTTCCACCTGGGCACGCTGCCGGCTCATGTTCAGCCAAACATCGATCATCACTCCCACGTCCCTTTCCTCTTCACAGCCACTCTGTCCCAGGCCTATAGCATTGCATGGGGTTGTTGTGGCCAAAGTGCAGGATCTGGTGCTTAGCCTTGTTAAACCCCATCCCATTAGCCTCAGCCCAGCCTATCCCAATTCCTCTGAAGGACCACCTTAGCCTCAGGCAGATCAACATTACCTCCCAACTCAGTGTCTTCTGCAAACTTACTGAGGGTACATTCAACCCCTCATCTAGGTCATCAATAAAGCTATTATACAAGCTAGGCTCCAGTACCAACCACTGGGGGACACCACTTGTAATGGGACGCCAACTGGACTGAACTCCATTAACCACAACCCGCTGGGCATGGCCCTCCAGCCAGTTCTTGACCCAGAGAAGACTATAAACAGCCAGGACAGCTGACCCAACGGGATTAAATAGATGCTCCAATAGGTGTTCCAGCCCACCATCCCACTACCAAAGGCACCTCCCAGCCTGCAGCAGAGGAGCCTGCTGGGAAAGACCTGGAGGGCTGTGGGGACCCACCAACAGGAGCTGGTGCCAAGTCCTGCCCAAGGATCCAAGACATCTCCCTGTTCACCTCTTGCAACTTAGATATCTCTGTCCATGGGTGCTGGGCAGGCATCCTTAGGCTCCGTGGGGGCCCAAGGCAGCAGAAGGTGGGCACTGCAAGGGAGTGTCTCATGGGGCTTCCCAGAGATCCACTTTGTCTGGAAACTGCCTGTGGCTGGCAGGACAGAAATGTCTCTGTCAGTAGGAATAGTGTCCAGGGACCAGGGGCTCTGTCAGCCCCAAAGCCAGACCCCGATCCTGCTGGCTCTAAGATGTGTCCCCTCCCAACCGCTGGATCTTTGAGCTCTTCTCCCCTCCATCAACCTCAGGGAGACGCCCAGAAACATGGTCAGGGAAGACTGGATCTGGGGCAAAGCCCCCAGAGGGTTTTAATATGAGGAAATACCAACACACAGCATAAAAACAGGGGAATACCAAGAGGGGAAATACCCATGTGTGTCTGCTGACTGCTGGAAAAGGGAGACTATTTCCTGGCACTCACGGTTCTCCCAGTGGCACTGAGCTCTCCTCCCTCCCGGCTGCACCCAGCTGCTCAGCAGAGCTGGGCTCTGCTGGCCTGGGGCTCTGCAACTCTTGTGCATGGGGCTCTGGTGTCACATCCTGGGTGTCCTCATGGGGATATGCCAGAGACACCTCTTCAACATCGTCATAGCCCTTGCTCCCCAGGAAAGGTGACGAGGTGTCTCCCTCAGCTCCATGGACCACAGCACTTCTCCGGGAGTGCAGGCTTCCCCCTGTAAGCATCAAGGCAGGCTGCTGTGGTTGGGCCTGTGGGGTGCCCCTCGGGGCTGTTTATCATCTTCCTCATCCTCACCAGCCTGAGACACTCAGCCCATTCTCCCAGCCCCCACAAAATCTCCCAGGACAGGTTCTCCATATGGAGGTGGTCAGGCTTTCAATATGGCATGGATCCTCCCAGGCCTGGGGTTGGCACCTAGGAAGTGGCAGTGCTGCATTGCCCTCTCACCTGTGACTGCATCCCTGGGCCCAGCTCCTTCCTCTGGTGTCCTGGGCACTTCCCAGTCCCCCTGCCCAGGGACAGGATCCTCCCCAGGGTCAGAAACCTCCCCAGCATCATCATAGCCACCTGCTGGGTAACCTCCAGGCAGGACAGGGACATCTGAAAAGAGAGGGGAGGTGGTGGCAATGAGAAGAGATGTTCTGAAGAGCAGAGGGTGGGAGGGTGTGTGGGGACACAGGGCTGACATGCTGCTGGTGTCAGGGTCACAGCAGAGCCTTCATGCTTCCAGCTCTGATGATAACACTCGGTGGCACTGCTGTCTGTCTGGTCTGTCTGCAGGGAGGAGAAATGGAGCTCTTCCACCCTCCCCCTCCCACCTCTTAACCCTGGGAGTGGCCCCAGATCATCCTCCTCCTCATGTGCCCAGGGTAGGGCTGCAAATGGGTCTCAGGGAAGGGCTCCCCAGATCTCCCGGAGCCTGGGGACAGAGGCAGGGCTGGTCTGGGAATGGGCAGAGAGGGACAGGACCCCGCTGGGCTCCCTCAGCCCCATTATCGGGGCCAGCACAAGGCTGTCCCCACAGCACAGCCCCTCTGTGTTGTGTTGGCACTGCAGCCACATCCCCAGGGAGGGCAGCATTCCCATGGAGATGGTCTGGGGCAGAGTCAGCCTCACACCATCCCTTTGGAGACAGCCCTTGTGCCCGTTTGGTCCCTGGGTCATGTTCCAGTGCAGACCCTGCACCAATTCCCACATTTCTCCTCCCCATGGAGCTGGTCCATCTCTGCCCCACACGTCAATAGCACAGCCCGTGCCCTGCTGGGGGGGTGGCTGATACAACGGTGATGGACTCCACTGCCCCATGCTCCTCCTGCCAGTACTGCCAAGAGCACTGCCAGCAGTACATCCTCCCCGTCTCACCCAGCCCAGATCTCACATTTCTCTTCTCTCCCCAGAACGGATGCCTCAGGCTCTGGGCTCTCTCCACCCCTTGATGTTGGTGCCCCATGATCTGTCAGTCAGTGGGGCAGCACATGGGGCAGGAGGCAGCACATGGCTCTGTTTCTGTGCCCCAGGACACCAACACCCCCAGCACCCCCAGCCCTACCAGGAGGCATCTCCCCCCTAGGACCACTGGGGAAGGAGGCACCTGTGCGCTGAGCCCTGGTGCTTCGCACCTGCCCAGCCAGGAGGGCCAGGAGCAGGCAGAGGAGGACCCCCAGGATTATGCGGAGGATGACAAGCACTGAGAGTCCCTCGCTGCTGGTGGTTGGACGGCCCCGTGGGGGATCTGCATGGGCAGGAACACGGCAGGGGCAGCAAGGGAGAGGTTGGAGGCAGGACATACCACTCCTGACCACACAAGGCAGCAGGGGCTGGGGGGGACAAGGCTGGGTGATGGGGCAGCTCCCACCCTGCTGGGTACATCACAGACTTCCCCCAGCTCTCTCAATTTCCTGGGAGTCTCACAGCCCAACAGGGAGCCCCTTCCCCTGGCTGTGGGTCACAGCGTGGACATGGACAGACACAGCCCAGGGGAAGGACAGCTTACCTGCTTGTGGGGGGGGTGTTGCTGTCCTGGGTGCAGCTGCAGGGGAGCAGAAGGAGAGCTGGGATAAGAGGCTGGGGCTGTGGCACCAGGCAGCCTCCCTGGCAAATGACCCCAGCATGTGCCACCTGAATTGTCCGTCCTGCGGGGCTGAGCAGGGTGGCAACGACAGGGCCCAGCACCACTGCTCTGTGCTGCTCACAGGACAGTGCAGACAGCCCAGGAGATGTGCTGGGACATCCAGCCTCACAGAGGCTGCTCCCCACCCACCACCAGCCTCCCACTCTGCAGAGACACCCTTGCTTGGGCCAGCACTGGGGCCATGCCAGAATCCAGCAGGGCAGATGCCCAAGCCAGCTCCTTGCCAAGCCCCCAGCCATGTCTCCCAGCCCCACTGCTCACCTGAGCAATGCACAGCCGCATCTGCCTTATGCTGGCAGGCAGCGCTGTCCTCTGGCTGGGCCCAGCAGTCCTGCAGAGACAGCTCCGTCCCCCTGCACTCCATCAGCCACATGGGGCCCGTCCCCTCTCCAGCAGCAGCCTGGCCCAGGGCATAGAGCGCGGGGCCACAGCCCAGCTGCCTGCACGCCACCTCGGCATCCCGCATGTCCCAGGCATTGTCACACAGTGTCCCCCAGGTGCCACGGTGCCAGATCTCCACTCTGCCCGAGCAGTCGTCCTTGCCTCCCACAGCACGGATCTTCTCCCTGTCTGGGGAGGCAGCGATGTCTCATGGCACCAGAACAGCTGGGACAGCCCTGCCAGGTGAGGGGGGCACGCGTAGGGGCAGCTCCCTACCTGTGCAGCTGGTGGAGTTGGGGCATGCAGCCACCTGTGGCCTTTCTGTCCATGTCCCAAAGGAAAGAGAAGTTGGTCTGAAAAGGGCTGCTCTAGGCGTCATGCAGAACAGAGCAGGGCTGACCTCTGCTCACACATCCCCATGCTGCCTGGGTCAGGGCAGCAGCAGCACCCTGTTCATTTAGGGGACGCACACAGCACTGCAGGGGGGACCCAAGTTCTGAGCCCTACAGGGTCCGTGGTTCACAGAGCAGCAGGAGGCTGTCCCAGGAGGGAGGACTCCTGAAAGCCCTGCATGGTCTCCTCTGAGACCTTGCCCGGAGATGCCTCTGCATCCCCCAGGGAGCTGCTGGCAGCCCGGCTGTTGACTGCTGCTGGTGGACATGGGTGGCTCCAAAAGCTGAAGTCACCTTTGTGTACCAGTAGCAGCAGGGTCTAATGCAGGAAGTCAAACCCCGTCTGGGTTTCTTCTCTGCATTTCACCATGCCCAGTGGAGAACTGGACCTGGTGCCTTGATGTCTCAGATTTACCATTGCAGGTGATGTGGGTCTCTTCTCGGAGGTCATCACATGACTGCGGATTCCAGGAAGCAGAGGGACACTGCCAGAAGGAGCTGTTGCTCTTCCCACACTCCACGTGATCCAGCCATGCAGTACCAGACAGCTTGGCATAGTTAGAATGTATTTCCAGTTCCCCTTCATTCCCGCAGCCCAGCTCCTTGCACACCAGTGACACCGTCTCGGTGGTCATGGAGTTGGAGCAAACACTGCCCCACGTCCCGTTGTAGAAAACCTGCAGGCGCCCGGAGCAGCCGTCGCTGTTCTCCAGCCTCAGGGCCGTGAACTCTGGAAGGAGGAAAGGCCCCAGACAGAACAGGCTGGTCTGGGGCTGGTGGAACAGAGGCTCCTCTGCACCCCAGGTGCTCAGGAATTCGGAGGCACAGCCAGCAAATCCCTTTTGCATCTGGGGGCAGAGAGGTCTCTGACATACTCCTTTGCCCTCCCCACTCACTGTCAGGGTGGATGGGCTCCCAAGGGTCTGTGTGAAGGTTTCCCCAGGATGGGCTTGGGCGGGGGACCCAAGGCAGCCAGGGATGGCACTGGCCTCGCCCAGCTCTGCACTTACCCTAGTCTCTGAGGCCCCAGCTCCCAGCCCCACGCCCAGCACAGACCTGAGCAGACGACTCCCGCGTCCTCCTTGTGCCCACAGTCGTGCTGCCCCCAGGCCTCGGCAGGGCAGTTCCAGAGAGCAGCTTCGGTCCCGGAGCAGTTGACGCCATCCAGCCAGATCTGCCCGGAGCCCTCCCCAAACCGAGCAGAGCCGGCTGCCTCCAGGACCCCTCCGCAGCCCAGCTGGCGGCAAACGACGGCGGCGTCGGCCAGGTCCCAGGCGTCGTCACAGACGGTGCCCCAGCGCCCCTGGTAGTAGATCTCCACTCTCCCAGCACAGCGCCCGGCCCCGTCCACCAGCCGGACCCACCGGCTCCCTGCAGTGTGGAGAACCCCGGCCGTCAGGGGCTGGCTGCCCTCCCGGACCAGCACCTGTGGGACGTGCAGCACCACTCACCCTGGCACACGACCCCCACATCCTCCATGATCCCTTCTGTTGGCATGCTCTGAGGCAGCGAGGTGTTGCAGAGGCTCAGGTCAGCCTCGTGCCCTGCACACCGCACCCCACGCAGCCCCACAGGTCCTTGTCCTCGCTCGGCCCTCACAGGGGTGTAGGCTGCCTCTGCCTCTCCGCACTGCAGCTGCCGGCACACCACGCTGGCCTCCTGCATGTCCCACTGCTCATCCAGGACTCTGCCCCACGTCCCGTGCTGGAAGACCTCCACGCGCCCGTCGCACCGGCTCCCTCCGCCCACCAACCGCAGGGGCATGGGGTGAGTTAGGCCTGGTGAGAGCAGACATTCAGCCAGGCTCTGCCATGAGCTCCCCAAATTTGTGTGGCCGTGTCACACACCAGGGGCAAATGGACTTTGCAGCACTGCCCAGCACTCACCTGAGCAAATGACAGCAGCAGCGTTCTCCTGGGAGCACGGCGAGGCCCCCAGGGCAGTCACCGGACACTGCCCCAGGTGGGCTTCAGTCCCGTCACAGTGGAACGAGTCTCTCCAGACGGGGCCGGTTCCTCTCCCAAAAAGCCCTCCTCCAGGAATGGACTCAGCAAAGCCACAGCCGAGGTGCCGACACAGAACGTGGGCGTCCGAGAGGTCCCAGCGGGAGTCACAGAGGGTCCCCCATGTCCCCAGCATGTTGACCTCCACCCTGCCCTCACACGCTGTGCTGCCGTTCACCAGCCTGAACCCTGTGTACTCAAGGACAAAGGAGGGTGAGAGAGGCCACATTTGTGCTCTTGTTCCCACAGGAGCTGCAGGAGAGGCCAAAGGGACAGCGTTCTTTCCTCCTCCCCACCAGCAGTTTCTCCTCTCCATCCAGCACAGCCCAATGCCCACACTGCTCTCCCGCTCCAACCACAGCCCCTCTGGGCACCATCCCACCCCAAGTCCTTACGTGTGCAGGTGACATGAGTGCCATTGCTGTGGGTGCAGGCCTTGTCCTTGGGGGTCCCCGTGGGGCAGAAGGAGAGGATGGATTCATTCCCCACACACTGCAGCTCTCTGTCCCAGACAGGACCGGCCCCTTCTCCCAGCTGAGCTGCCCCATGAGCAGACAGGGCTGTGCCACACTGCAGCTCCCTGCACAGCACCTCGGCAGCTTTGGCACCAAAGTGGGAGTGACAGACAGCTTTCCACTGGTCCCTGTCGTAGACCTCCACACTTCCAGAGCAGGGGCTGTCCCCTCCGACCAGCCGGACAAATCCTGGAGCAACCAAGGAGACCTGTGAGTTCCCAGAGCCCTCTGACACTTCCATGCCCACCTCCCACCTCATCCCTGAGGTGACCACATGCAGAGCCCTATGGCCAGCCCAGCAGCTCTCAGTGGGTGCTGATGGCACAAAGAGGTCAGGGCCCCCCTACTGCTCCTCAGAAACCAGCCCAGCACCCATGTCCTCTTTTCCAAGCCCCCAGCAGCAGGCACCGCTCAGACAAACTGCTGCTGCCCGGAGTCCTTGGGCTGCCCGGCCCCAGTCCCAGCACTGCAGCACACGCAGCACGTGGGCCCGGGGAAACAGGCCCAGGAACTCAGGGCTTACTTCAGCCTGCTCTGCCCCACAAGGCTCAGGCTAGTTAGAAGAAATCCTTGGATCTGCCATAAAGCTCCCTTGTTCCCAGGGAATGCTGGGGCTCTTGGGGAGCTGCTGTTAGATGGGGCACTTCGGGGAATCCTCTGCAAAGGGGGGTCCTCTGCTAGGTACAGTGTGGTGCTGGACATGCACGTCCCCAGCCACCTACTATGCATGGGTCAGGAAAGCAGGCAGAGAGCAGCCCTGGGCTGACACGAGCTCCCGGTGTGAGGGGAGGCACCAAGGAGAGCCAGGAGGTGCTGGCACAGCCCCTGGGGCATGGGTTAGGCAGGAGAGGTCAGGCAGTGGGTCAGCAAGGCCTGGAGGGGCCATGTCTCCAGGGACTGGCTCTCATGGGGTGACCCCGGGACAGGAACAAGGTGCCACTTGCCACCATGTTCCTCTGCTCAAGCCCAGTGCTCCTGCCCTCTGAGCAGCCCCTCTGCTTTGGCCAAGGTTCTCTTGGCTGCTGGGGGTACAACCAAAAGTCCTGGGCCATTGCACACCCTTCCCTGAGGCTGCTGGTGGCTGGGGGAGCTGCTCTAGATTCCCCTGGCATAGGGACCAGTCTGCCAGACAGGGCCTGGGTGAATGGAGGAGAAAGATGGGAAACAGCCAGCACAGTGGGGAAGGGTGAGGGCTTTCCTCTCCCAGACCCAGACACCTCCCCAAGGTTGGCTGCTCCAGCTTCAGTGCCATGCTCAGTGTGCTCCCACTGGGCTTTCCCAGGGACAAGGGACATCAGCAGTGACAGACCCAGCTCAGAGTGCAACTTGACACACAGAGCCATGTTCTGGTGTGCACTTGTTGCTTCCTGAGGTCACAGCCAGGTCCCGTAGAAGTGTCCTCATCCCAGAAGTAGGGAAGAAGTTCAGTCCTTACCTGAGCATGTCACTCCAGCATCCCAGATATGATAGCAGTCTGTTTGGCCCCACCCTGCGTGTGTGCAGTCAGACAGGGCAGACTCGGTGCCACGACAGCCAACATAATCCATCCAAATGGGCCCAGATCCTGGCCCAAAGTGTGCATTCCGATGAGCTTTGAGAGCACCCCCACAGCCCAGCTGCCTACAAACCACTGCAGCATCAGACATGTCCCAGTCGTAATGACACACGGTCCCCCACTGGCCATGATGTTTCACCTCCACTCTCCCAGCACAGCGACTGCCGCCATCCACCAGCCTCACCTCCGCAGCCCCTTCAAACACCAACACAGGAAGGGTCAGGAGAGTTTTGAGCCCCACATTGTGTGTCCGTGAGGACCCCCTCCCCAGGCAGACTCCCAGTTTCCAGGGTGGGATCCCTGTCCCCATAGGCTGTCTCAGGGGCAGCGGGGGGTTCCTCCTCTCCCCATGGGCTACACTGGTCTGGTGGTACTCAGCTCTAGCCCTCCTGGGCCATTTGCTGCCCCACAGCTCTCAGCACCTCCTCCCACCCCAGCAGACCCCTGCCCTCACAGATGCCCACCTCCACACAGCCCCCAGCCCTGCACAGGGCTCCCGCTCCTCCCCAGCCCAGTGTCCCCCGAACAGCCCCATGCCCCTGAGCAGCTTCCATTGCCCATTGCCTGCCACAAGCACCTCCTAAAACAACTGTCCAACCCAGGAACTCTAGGGTGCCCACAGGGAACTGAATTGATCACAAGGATCCCAAAAAACTTTCCTCATCCCTGCTGTCAGATCAGTCCCTGTGCTTGGACAGAGCCCCAGGAAGAACACCTCTCTACCACTTTTGGATGCAGACACCCCAGTCCCGTTCTGTTAATGGGACACAACCTGCCCTCCTGGAGTCAGTGTTTCCCCAGATCCCAGGGGCAAGGAACAGCACACAACCCCCCTGGGACACCCCGGACAGGGGCTGTGCCCTGGAGATCACTGAGGGTTACTCTCACTGTCTGGGACTCCTCCAGATCCAGAGGCACAGTGCTCGGGAACAAGGGCTCACAAAAGGGTCCCCAAGGACAAGGAGTCTAGAAATGATGCAAGGCATGGGCTGCCATAATCATGGGAGCTGTGGAAATGGATTACCCCCTCCCATCCATGACAAGCACAGATTAAAACACAGGGATGAGGGAATGAGAACCTTCTGCCTCTCATTTCAGTGGTGCCTGAAAACAACCCCACTCCCAGAGAGATCCCGATGACCCCACTGCTGCCCACTGTCCCAAGGCTGTGGAACAGAGAAGCTGGCACTTACCTCTGCAAGGCTGCACCCAGAGGAACAGCCACAGCACCCAAGGGGACAGGAGTCCCTCTGCCCCCATCCTGAGGCTCCTGTCCTGACAGCACAGCCCTGCTGCTGGAGCTCCTGGGGACCCACAGTGAAATGGCGATGATGGGAGGGCAATATATCTGTGCAGATGCTGTCCCAGCTGCAGGAGGAGCCAATCGAAGCAGCAGGCACCTTTTTAGACGTTATCGGCACTTATCTCCCCTCCGACGCAGCCCAGCTCTCCAATGAACTTCTCCAGCGCTCTTCATGACCATATATGAGGGACGGCTCCGCTGCGGGTCTCACGTCACTGCGGTGGAACATCATCGTGGGGTAGGGCTGGGTGTGGGGGCAGATGGCTCTGACACCCCTTGCAGCCTGCTGTGGGAGCACGGAGCATCTCCTGAGCTGTAGCATCCAAGAGCCCAAGGTGTGATTGTCCGGCTGTCCCTGCGCCATGGGATCCTCAGGTCTGGTCCTGCAGCAGGGCTGTGTCAGGCTGGGAAGGGACCAGCCCCTGCCCCTGCTACAACCCCTGCTGTGCTGGCAGCAGCAGCTGGGAAAGGCCCTTGGGCAGGGCCAGAGCCCCATGATGGGGGTGCTGGCTGTCCCGTCCCTCCCCAGGGAGCCTCCTGTGGGGTCCCGGCAGCAGCCAGAGCTGGTCCAGGGCCTGCCCTGGCAGCAGAGCTGCAGCCCAGAGCCTCAGGCGTCTCCCTGGCTCTCAGCGTGTCACCCAGGGGCCGTTATTCCCCACGGCGGGTTGGGAGCTGGAGCCTGCCTGCCACTGCAGGTGCACAAACCGCAGCCCACGTGACATGGTGCCCGGGCAGGAAGACGGTGGTTTCCTCCTGGCCCCGTGCCCAGGCATGGCCCTGCGGTGCCTCCCAGCCTCCTCACAGCTCCAAGCCTGGCAGGGTTCAGGAAGTGTTTGGATAATGCTCTCAGACATATAGTTTGATATATATATATAATATTTTTATTAAAATATAGATTTTTATAAATGTATACAAATTATATATTTTACACAGAATCACAGAATCACAGAATTTCTAGGTTGGAAGAGACCTCAAGATCATCGAGTCCAACCTCTGACCTAACACTAACAAGTCCTCCACTAAACCATATCCCTAAGCTCTGCATCTAAACATTTTTTAAAGACCTCCAGGGATGGTGACTTCACCACTTCCCTGGGCAGCCCATTCCAGTGTCTAACAGCCCTTTCAGTAATGAAGTTCTTCCTAACATCCAACCTAAAACTCCCCTGGCGCAACATATACACATTATATTAATTAGCATATATTTACACACATTTTACTTATATTTACATACATCATATTCTATTATATTACAATATATTATATTATATAATATAATATTATATTACATTACATTACATTACATTATATTATAGATGTCCTGGTTTCAGTTAGAACAGAGTTAATTTTTTTCCTAGTAGCTGGTAGAATGCTATGTTTTGGCTTAGGATGAGAAGAGTGCTGATAACACCCCGATGTTTTAATTGTTGCAGAGCAGTACTTATACTAAGCCAAGGACATCTCAGCTTCCTGCTCGGTCCTGCAAACGGGCAGGCTGGGGGTGCAGCAAGAGCTGGGAGGGGACAGACCCAGGACAGGTGACCCAAACTAGCCAGAGGGGTATTCTATACCATCTGACGTCATGCTAAACAATATATAGGGATGGCTAGCCAGGGGAGGGGGCCGGACTGCTCGGGGTTAGGCTGGGCATCGGTCAGCGGGTGATGAGCAATTGCATTGTGCATCACTTGTTTGTACACATTATTAGTGGTAGTACTATTATCATCATTGTATTATTATAATTATTGTTATTATTATTATTATTATTATTGTTAGTATTATTTTCCTGTCTTATTAAACTGTCTTTATCTCAACTCACGGGCTTCACTTTCCGTTTCTCTCCCCGGCCCAGAGAGGGAGGGGGAGGGTGAGCGAACGGCTGTGTGGTGTTTAGCTGCTGGCCGGGTTAAACCACAACAGTCCTTTTTGGCGCCCAACGTGGGGCACGAAAGGTTGAGATAACGGCAGATCTGACCAGAGTGTGTTAAACTAAAATCGGTATAAGTATTAGACCTACTTAATAGTCACTTGTCATAATGTTGATTGCTTTAATCTCAACTCTGCTGCACCTGCTTTCCAAATTGAGTATTATAACACGTTATTTTCCGTATGTGGTCTCTGTCATGTTGTTTATCCTCTCTGGGCCCTGGTTTAAGATCATTATGGTACTGTGTGTTGTAGCAGTGGCTTATGAGACGAAATATCTGGTCATGACTCTAACTTGGTATTTGTACTCAGTAACATCGTCGAATCTATACTTTGGAAACCGTATCTCAGAAACTGTTAGCAATTATACTTGTTGCCTTTTTTCATCAGGGAGTCAATCTGCGGAGGGGAACGGGGAAGATATTTTTTCTTACTCGATCACTCTCCCTTTCTCCTTCACCACCCCCTTGTCCTCCTTGATCACTCTCCCTTTCTCCTTCACCACTCTCTTATCCTCCGAGCTTGTTACAGTAGCTCTCCAAGATATTGAATATCCTTGGGATACTCAGACCAGCATAGTCTTGTTGTTCTGCCTCCTGAATGTGCTTCAGGTTTTGCTTAAATTTAAATAACTACTTAGGAATCTCATCCAGAGATCTGCCCGGAGGCAGTATAGTTGTGAGTGGCAGGGAGTATGGGAGGATATGGGTAGGCATCTAGAGCACTGGGCACCCCCAGTGTTTTGGAAATTCACCCCTGAACAATGGCAAAATCCTCAAAAACTGGTAGAATGCTTGAAAAAAAGGTGTCATGATTCTGGCAGTTCCAAAGTGACACAAATCATTGTAACGTGCTGGGGCCTGGCTCATGCCTATCGAGCTGCAAATGACACTACTATCAACTTAGTGACAGACCCTGCGGCCACTCCAAGTCCTGTGACAGATCCAACGGCCACTGCGACCCCTACGGTGGACTCTGCAGCCGCTCCAGCTCCAGTTCCTGCAGCCACTCCAGCTCCAGTTCCTGCAGCTGCTCCAGTTCCAGTTCCTGCAGACGCTCCAGTTCCAGCTCCTGCAGCTGCTCCAGCTCCAGCTCTTGCAGCCACTCCGTTTCCAGCTCCTGCAGCCACTCCAGTTCCTGTGGCTGGGTCAGAGAAACGAGCTGTAGCAGTGCAAGTTGACCCTGCAAAGAGTATTCCAACCCCTGTGGCAGACCCTGTAGCTGGGTCAGAGAAACGAGCTGTAGCAGTGCAAGTTGCCCCTGTAGAGAAGGTGAAAAAATGGTATAGAGATTCAGGTCGTTTAGAATGCAGAGAGTCTTCTGCCAAATCTAGGTATAGAGATGACGATGCTGGGCCATCAGGGATTCAGGAGGAGGAAGATGAGGATGCCAAAAAATGAATAGTAACTACCCGAAACCTATACGAACATGAGCTACGAGATGTGCGAAAAGATTTTGGTTGTTGCATAGGTGAGAAGCTTGTCTCCTGGCTGCTCCGATGCTGGGACACTGGAGCCAATTGTGTGGAATTAGACAGCAGGGAAGCCAGGCGCCTGGGATCCCTTGCTCGAGACGCCGGCATTGACAAAGCAATTGCAGATGGAGCACAATCTCACAGCCTCTGGAAGCGTCTCCTCTCAGCTGTGAGGGAAAGGTATCCCTTCCAGGAAGAACTTTTATGTCTACCAGGCAAGTGGACCACTATGGAGAAGGAAATCCAGTACCTGAGGGAATTAGCCGTACGGGAAGTGATTTATGAGGATCCAGACCTCAGACAAACATCCAAAGATCCAGATGAAGTCAGGTGTACACGACCCATGTGGCGGAAGTTTGTACGGAGTGCACCATCATCATATGCCAGCTCATTGGCAATAATGGCCTGGAAAGAGGATGAGGAACCTACAGTGGATGAAGTGGCTAAACAACTCCGACAGTAGGAAGAAAGTCTCTCCTCTTCCTTACAGGCCTGCATCTCAGCTGTGTAGAAACTTTCTGAAGAGTTCCACCAAGTTAAAGAGAATCTATCTTTCTCCCCACCTGAACAAACCAGTGTCCACCAACCAAAAGAGAACACTTTTGAGAAACTTTCTGAAAAGTTTCACCAACTTGAAGAGAGATTATTCTCCTCTGTACCTGTACAAAGCAGTGTCTCAGCTATCGGGGTAGGTGGTCATCCGCACAAGGAAGACAATATGGTGGGTATACACCCCGTGCCATGCTGTGGTTTTACCTATGTGACCACGGAGAGGACATGAACTATGAGATGGAAAATCTACCTTGACCCTAGAGATATGGGTATGGGAGTTGCAAAAGAAAATGATCAGGAAAAAGGGGTTCTCTGAAAAATTTGCTGCTCCAATTTCCAGCAGGCAGTCCTTTAGACACAGAAACAGAGATTCTGACCATGATTAGAGGGGCCCTGCCTCCAGCCAGGGGGAGGAAAGGGACAATCGAGATTATTGGACTGTATAGATTCGGTGGCCTGGCATGTCAGACGCACGGAAGTATAAGGCTTTAGTAGATACTGGTGCACAATGTACTGTTATACCATCGAGCTATAAAGGGCCAGAACCCATCTGCATTTATGGGATGATAGGGGGATCCCAGCAGTTAACTGTATTGGAGGGTGAAGTAATTCTAACTGGGAATGAGTGGCAAAAACATCATACTGTGACTGGCTCAGATGCTCCGTGCATCCTTGGCATAGACTACCTCAAGAGAGGCAAGGACCTAAAAGGGCTTTTGGCAGAGCTGTCTTAGAGACAGAGGACATTAAACAGTTGTCTACCTTGCCTGGTCTCTCAGAGGACCCTTCTGTTGTGGGGATGCTGAGGGTTGAAGAACAGCAAGTGCTAATTGCTACCACAACTGTGCACTGGCAGCAATATCGCACCAACCGAGACTCCCTGATTCCCATCCATAAGCTAATTCGTCAATTGGAGAGCCAAGGAGTGATCAGCAAGACTCATTCACCTTTTAATAGTCCCATATGGCCAGTGCGAAAGTCTAATGCTGAGTGGAGACTAACGGTGGACTATTGTGGCCTGAACAAACTCACGCCACCACTGAGTGCTGCAGTGCCGGACATGCTGGAACTCCAGTACAAACTGGAATCAAAAGCAGCCAAGTGATATGCCACAATTGATATCGTTAATACATTTTTCTCCATCCCCTTAGCAGCAGAGTGCAGGCCAGTTTCCTTTCACTTGGAGGCGAGTCCAATACACCCAGAGTCAGCTACCCCAGGGGTGGAAACACAGCTCTACCATTTGCCATGGACTGATCCAGTCTGCGCTAGAGCAGGGGGAAGCTCCTAAACATCCGCAGTACATCGGTGACATCATTGTGTGGGGTGGAACAGCAGAGGAAGTTTTCGAGAAAAGGAAGAAAATAGTCCAAATCCTTCTGAAGGTGGGTTTTGCCACAAAACAGAATAAAGTCAAAGGACCTGCACGAGAGATCCAGTTTTTAGGAATAAAATGGCAAGATGGATGCTGTACAAACCCAATGGATGTGATCAACAAAATAACAGCTATGCCTCCACCAGCTAGCAAAAAAGAAACACAGACTTTCCTAGGTGTTGTGGGCTTTTGGAGAATGCACATCCCATATTACAGTCTGATTGTAAACCCGCTCTACCAAGTAACCCGTAAGAAGAATGAGTTTGAATGGGGCCCTGAGCAACGACAAGCCTTTGAACAAATCAAGCAGGAAATAGTTCATGCAGTAGCCCTTGGGCCGGTTCGAACAGGACCA